TTCAAACTAGTTTCAAACCTGTTTCAAACTATTTTCTTGTGGCACCACACGCTTTCAGTTTCACCGATGATTCTACACCAATTGTGGTAGATACACAGTTTAAAGCTTATCTACAGACCGGCAAGGTGATTCAATGGTTAACACCTACATATTTATACACTACTTTTTAGAGTAACGCTCCTAATAATTCGATGAGTTCAGGACTTCCACTTGTACATTCTTATAACTGATTCCCAACAAACTATATATGTATATATATGTTTACTGCCAATGGTCACTTTGGGGTCAAGGCAGCAACCAGCAAAGCAGCCGGGTAGGTACCTGGATCGCCTCCTTCCTTCTGACTCGCCACCAACACTTGGTGCACAGTGCAGGTGCGCTCGCTAGCGTAGTTGGCGGCTCGCAGAGGAGGCATAACAAAGATCCGAAGCGGACAATAACAAGGATGTCCGTTGGTACGTGCCATTGCCTACCAGATATATAGATCATATGGGTTGCAAGTTTACATAATTTTACCGATGGTAGCTTTTGGCCCTTGGTGTTCGAGGGCAGGTAACACAAATGTTGGCCATAATGGTGATGCAATCGCCCGCTTAGGACTGAAAGACGTAAATCATAATCTGCAGGCATCGGTTCGTAGCTAATCGTCCGGAATACAATAGGCTCAACATGATACGATTCAGTTGTATTACGTGGACAGAATTCTATAGTAGGATTGGTTATATACATACATACAGACATATCTATTTACATATATACATCCATAGGTACATAGATACCTACCTACATATCTACCTAGCTACCTAGCTACATACCTACACCTCAAACCTGTCCCTTCTAGGGGTCTGAAACTGCTTTGAAACTAGTCTGAAACCTGTTAAAATCTACAAACGTGACTTGGTGGTGGAAAGAGATATATTTAGATGGAAATCATGATGGCCCTTGGATTTTCCAGGGTTCATAGCCAATCGTCCGTACCTTCATAGTCATATAATAGTTCAATTCGCCTTGTGGACATTATTGTTCAAATTACAGTATTCTTGTTGTAGCAAAATAGGTTTCATTTCCCAATAGATTGAGATTAAATTCCTCATCGTTCGTATTTTCGAATTGTCTTCACATACCAGATCATGTAATTTAACCGTTACTTTATCTTGGCCGCGCCAGGACGAAGATCCAGGCTATGGAGGGATCCGCTGATGTAGAGACGGAAAAGGGCCGTGACGGAAAATGGCGGGTGGCGGGCTTGTGCAATAATTATCTCAAGCACTTGCGTGGCTCAATCCAATACAAACATCCAAGATATATATATATATATATATATATATATATATATGATCCCGGGTATGCATGGCCTCGATTCCCGTCGATTCGGTTCCCCTTGAAAATCGATTCGGGGCGATTCGGTTCAAGCAACCTACCGATTCATGTTTGATTCGATTTTTAATTATTGTTGTGTTCCGGTTCCTTAAAATCCTGGTCGATTCAATCCGATTCGATTCCAAACGATTCGATTTTTTCCGATTCCGGACCGGTTCGGTTCCTTATGTGCAGCGGTTTAGATTCCTGAACCGTTTTGGAACCATCCTGATATATATATATATATAAATAGATACATAAGATAGGGACGTAAAATCCTGGAACAAAAATATAGCGATGCATAATGATACATATATATATATATGTTACATTATATGTTTTCTTATCTGTTTGGTCATTAATTACTCATTACTATAAATGGACAACATTGTGTTCTAATCAATTTTCAGAGCCAACGGCTGAGGAACCCCGCCACTGGCTGGCTCAGTAGTGCCACTGCAGCCTTTGCTGGCTGCATCTTGTACAAGCTGGACGCTGGGGGGGGTTGAGATGTTTTACCAATGAACAAATGGTCCATTTATAGATGGTGAATGGGAAAACATGATCGAAAATGACATTCTATGGAGGACCCATGGGATAAAGCTATGACAATTTTTGGTCCATTTGTGTGAGTTTTTTTGGCCAATGAAACATGGTGATTCTCCCCATATGTGAAATTACCAGATGGTACTGTATATATATATATATGTATAAATATATATAAATATACCTGGCAATGTTTAAGGTTTTTTGTTCATAGAATACGGATATAACTTGATGGCTCTTTCGGGAAGAGGGAAACCGTCCCGACATGGGATCTGTTGAACAGACCTTTCGGACACCAGTGGGATGTAGTTTGGGAATAGAGCAGGGAATAGAGCAGGGAATAGAGCAGGGATACTTCTATTATCCCAAGCTGGGAATATATGAGCCACCGCAAAAACCCCGGCAATACTAAATATGTAAGCAATGGGACCTTCCCAAATTTGTGGATGTCCTTTCCGTGAACCTAGGGTTTTCGAGATTGCTCATATGTCGCTATACTGTGGGATATGTTTGCAAGAATCATTTTTTGGCCTTGACAGGAGGTCACTGGAAATGATGATTATCCCTCCGGTGTCATCAAACATGGCTTGCTGGCACAGCCGCACCGCCCACCATTTAGTTCGATAATAAAACTCCAAGCTGTAAAAACCTTCATTGTTCGGGATTTTCCCAGCTGTAAACCTCCATAGATGATGTTTGATATGTTTTCTTTAATACCTCCATGTTTGGTGGATTTCCCCATGTTTTTTGGTCCTGGAGTTTACACAAAAACATGAACACCTGGTTTGCCTGGCCATCTCCATGGCATAGAGCCTCCAGGATTTTTCGAAAAAACGATGGACATCCATGGCCGTTGTTTCCCTTCGTTTTTTTTTTCCTACTACTTTCATTAGACTTTCATTTTGTGGAACATCTCCATAGCAATGTGAAAGTTGACCAAAATTCGGTGAAACTTCGGGGTTTTGCAAAGCCTGGTAAAGCGAGCTTGGTCACCACCATTTTCTCAGATCCCCCGAGATCCAGGGAGTCGACTCGGGAATGTCATGAAACGAAGTATGTGGAATCGAGGAAATTTGATGTTCACATAAACACTAGATCAAGAAACATAGGCACAGAACCAAAATGGAATGGGAAGGTATCCAGGACTTAGGTTACCGACCATATTTGCGCAAAAAGCTCGAGACATGGACGCCAACGCAGTTTAGGCTATCTTCGTCATCTAGGAATCATGGATTCTCATGATATTCCCATGATCATCTCCTTAAAAAAACCTAGAAAAGATCATGTTCCAACGCGGGGATTCCAACGTTTCCAGTTGGGAGTCCCCAATGTCATATCCAAATGAACAAACATACGAGGAGGGGAAACCTGGGAAAAGAATTTAAGGAAGCGTCGGAGCAGGAGCTTCACCCATCCCGCGTTCATTAAAAAAAATCAGCGCAACGCTTCATCCATCCTCATCAGCATCAGTACACCGGAACCAATGAAGTTTGGGATGCAGTAATTAACGACCTCACTGGCCGAACAAAGATTCATCCCAAACTTGGCCTTGAAATTTGTCCGGGAATGGAATTCTGCCCAGAGAATCCAGAAAATGGAGATTTTACCCTCTGGTTGTTTAACATAGCCATGGGAAATGGCCCATTTATAGATGGTTTACCTATTGAAAATGGTGATTTTCCATGGCAAACTGCTAGTCATAAGCAGATTTTTTCATAGTTACATAGTGGGATGTTTGCCCAGAGTTGATCCATTATCCAACCACCAACTAAGCCATCGGAAAAAAGATGCTATCGGACCTCACAATGAGCACACCATGGTTTTTCATGGTGTCTTCGTTGATCCATCATCCCAACAGGGTGAACTATGACATGATTCGGGAAGTATTTTTTCAGATCTGATTCACTATCCACAACAATCAGAGATGGGGAACCAATTTATACCATTTATACCTATCAGCCATTTTTTGAAATCAGATTTTTACATTGATCACTTTTTTGAATCCATTTGGGCCATCAAAACCATCCATACCTTTGTTTGTTTCACCAACCGCATGTCCAACTCAAAAAATGACACCCAAAGCTACTAACTAACTAGCTAGCCAACTAACAAACCAACCAACAAACTAACCAATGAATCAACGAACCAACGAGCTAAGCAGCAAACTATAATTAAACTATAGCCAGCTAGACAGCCAACTAGCTAGCTAGCCAATAAAACTTGATTCATTCTATATAAATCTCTTATCTGATTTCATCAAAACTGAATAAACCATATCATTTGCATTTCATTTATCCTATATATAGAAATTGATTTACTATATAAACATGTCCATATTATTATGATCATATGTCCACCATTTACCATTCATTTCCATCGTTAATCAATATTTTGTAAGCCATATCATCAATATCCACATCATTTTATCCATATCATAGATATATTCATTCATTTGAATTGTATCAATCATTATGATCCATTTCATTATGATCAAACATTGATCCATATCATTAATATCATTGTGATATGGATATCATTTATCAATATTTCCATCATGGATATTAATTTTATGATATTATATATCATATCCATATCCATATCCATATCATCAATATCCATATTATCCATATCATTAATATCAATTATCCAAATTTATCCAAATATGATTTTTCCACATTATCATAGATATATCCATATCATAGATATATCCATTACCTCATAGATATTATCCATATATAAATATGATATTTCCATATTCCTATCCATAGATATATCAACAATATATCCATATTTATCCATATATATCCATAGCTATTATCCATATATAGTGGATTTTCCCATTAAAAATGGTGATTTTCCATAGTTATGGGACAGTTTACCAGAGGGTTTATAACTCCAATAACTATGGTTTATAGGTGATATATCTATAGTTAATGGGGTTTATAAACCAATTTATAACTAGGGGGCACCACCTTGTATATCCATAAAAAACCAATCATTTTTCCCATCCACTAACGTCCCTCCGTGGGTAGGACCTCTTCGTGGTGAAACGCCAGCGACGCCTGGTGGACCTGGCCATCTTCCTGGGGCCCTTGATGCTGACCCTGGCGGTGCCGTGGCCGGCCGTTAAGCCGTTCAACGGGCAGCGAAAATCATGGGAAAAGCCTGGGAAAACCCTGCGTTAACCAAGGAACATGATGGGAACATGATGGGAAAACTAGGGAAAATGATGGGAACATGATGGGAACATGATAGGAAAATGATAGGAACACCCCCATTTGGGAAAGAACAAAAACCTTGGGGAAGTGCGATAGATTCTGATAGGACGATTTTTTTTGGTACACTTGAAATCATCACAAATCATCTATTGGTAGAACAGTGGCATTATTTTGGGGGGGCGAAAAATCAACGGCCCCCACTCCACTGCCACGATGGCACCAGAGGTGCACCTGGCGGTGATCCGCGACAACAACGGGCGCATGGGGCTCCGGGCCTGCGACCAGGCGATCCCGGCGTGGGCGCCCTGGACGCTGGCGTTGGTCTCCTGCGCCCTGCATATGGGATGGATCATCATCATTTTGAAGGCCATGGGAACCATGGGACCCATGGGATGGGTTCTGGTTGAGGATTGAAACAATTATTTCTTAATCAAGGATGATCAATGATGATCAATGATGATTACTATGTTGAAGGCTATGGGATGATTGGGGATCCGTGGTTAGTAAACATTTAAACATGTTGGTTGTAACCTGGTTGTATCATATTGTGTTTTTTTTTGCCTTGCATTAGTGATCAGTACTCTGATTTTGATGGCCATGGGATGGGTTTGGGATGGGTTTGGGAGATTACTGGTGTTGGGGAGTAGGGGATGTGATTGGGGGAGTAGATACAGGATGGGATGTTGGGGATAAACATTGGCTGTAAGTAGATACATTAAAATGGCTCATCCAAACAAGTTACCAACATTTACCATCCTGATACATTTACAGCCATGGTAAATGTTGGTACCCTCTGGTAAACTAACATAGCTATTGAAAATCACCATGTTTCAATAGGTCACTTGGCTGCTTCGGGATATTTTGGGGCCTGATTCTTCCGATGATTTTCCATGGGCTTTTTTTGGAGCAGACTGAAGTCGGATCCCGATAGTATCCCATTAATATTGGATACTCATAGCTATGAAAATAGCGAAACTCAGATAAAATCCAATATTGGATATCAATCATAGCTATGAGTAGATATTTCGTATCCCTAAAGTGTATCCCACAAAAATATTAGATATTGGATGATATTAGATATCTAATATCTAATATCTAATATCTAATATACCCACTATTATTCAAGAATATCATATATCTAATAATATCAATATTATTCATGATCTCCTTGAGTCAGGTCTCTTGCCCCTTGAAGTCCCGCGGTGCTGGACTCCCCATGTCGCAACTCAGCTGCCGTCAACGTGCTTCTCTGGTTGTCAATGGTAAAGTGTACTCACCAAAAAATCATAAAAAAATCTAGAGTTTTCTTTGGGTATCTAGGTATCTAAGATTCCCCTTAAGTATTGAACTAGTTAACTATATGTAACTATGTAGCACTTGAGTTGAAAGGAACGTTTTTCCAGTGGCCGCATCTTTGAAACCGTCACCTCACTGGGAGCATGGGATCGAACAACCGGCTGCCACTCTGGCGTTCTACACTTGGCCCCCCCAAAGAAAGAAGACGCCGATAAGCGGTTTTCGGCAAACTATGGTTTATGGAGAATACACCTACAATTGGATTGATTTTCAAACATCTACAGTATACTACCCATACCCGTTTGCAACAGACATGGCAATGGTGGTGGGAGATTTTAGAGGCCGCAACATGACACCATAGAGGGTCACCGCGCAAATTCGTGGACCCATGAGGCGACTGACCATCCAAAATTTCCACCCCCCAAAAACCAAAAGATAGCACCAATAGCACCGAGGTATCGCTCCTCCATCTATTTGGACGTCTTTGGTTGGCACTCCAAGCGCTTCCGCACCTTGGCGTTTTACGGTTTTTGTTCCTCATGATCTTGGTGTTTAGTGGTGGTTCAATATGGGGATTCAATGGCATAGAATAGGATTCTAATGGGGAAACCAGGCTTTCAATGGATTGGTAAACCGTAAACCACAGTTTTTTCGAGTAAATGTAGGGGACTCCCTGCAGATTTGAGGATCTAAGCTTCACATGTTCCGAAGGTGTCTCAAGAATGGCAAGCCTGCTCCAGGGGACATGGCTGGTATGGTAAGTTGCTGGTTGGCTAAACCCCAAAATGGTTCGATTCTTTTTATCTTAGGAACATCGGCCGCAAATCTACTACTGAGGTTATATTCTATGTCTATATATCGAAATGAAGCAGGCCATCCATGAATTCTTCATCTCTAACACGTAGATACAAAATGTACCATGTGAGTATATAAATATTACCAAACCAGATTACTATTAAGTGTATGCTTAATATTGATCTATATCTACAATGGTTTAGCAATAGTAGATAATCAGATATCGATCTCATAGATATCCTAATTTTTAATACATCATATAATATGTCATATATCATATAATATGTCATATATATAATATATAGATCATTATAGATCAACATGTTCTCTTCAAATTTTTGCAGAACACATCCCTCCTACCTGGGAGCCCTTTTTTTCCTCCGCATCACCGCAGGTCGCGCCAACGCCAGTGGAATGCCCAAGGCGGTCACGGTGCAGGCCACGCCCTTCATGAGCAAAGACCGCTGTGCCGCCGCGGCCTTCAAGGCGGAGCGGCGGAGATCGAACTCCACGGAGTTCGCGAAGGGGGGAACTGGGCGTAGTTAGTGGCTTAGTGGCTTTGGGACCTGTAGAAATATATGGATATACCTATTAAAAATGGTGATTTTCCATGGCTATGTTAAATAACCAGATGGTATATATATATAATATAATATGGGAATCTAATCTAACATTAAAACCGGGTTAAATTATGGTAAATTTCGATTTAGCTACTAAACATGAGTATCATGAATCATTTCACAGTTTTTCTCTAGGAAAATGATCTAGACATGGTGGGGGAAGTTTCCACATCCATACAGGTCACAATAGGAATCTACTAAAGGTGATGTGTATAATAGATACAGGTCATATAGGAAGCAACTATAATTAATATAGCACATATTGATACATATTGTACATATGGGATTATAGATTTTTTTTTATGGAATGAGGGGGGCCCCCTGGCAAATTCTCAGAGAGATGGGAAACACAAGCGTGAACAAAACATCATTTGTTGAGGATGTGTTTGTTTGCTGGAGGGTATCACTGGGATGATATTTTTTGTTTGTCAACACAAAATGATCTAGGAGTTTTAATGGAGCAGCTCAGTTTTTTGCTGAGAATTTAAGCAGGTTTTGAATATTGCTGGCATTCGGGCTGGTTTCAGACTGGACCGTTCGAGTTCGTTCCCTTGATGGTTCCATCATGACATCCCCAACCTTTGATGTTTTTTTGCCATAAATGGAACATCACCATAGCCTGCAAAATGTTTTCTATTTTTTTTGACTATCAAAGATTGACCAGCTTATGAATTTTGGGGATCAAATTTTGGACTTTTCATGAAAAAGCTGAACATTTGTGGGCAGTTGGCCGATACCTTTACGCTGGCCACTCATGTATATTCTACTACCCGTCATGTAATATAATGTATATATATAATACAATATATATGTATATTATATAGTAATACAGCGATAATGATTGACATCATCATATGATAACCGTAATCATAATGACAAAGAAGAAATCGATATCTATATGTCATCTACATTTATATTGATATATATGATACATGCTATGATACGCATGTCCAAGGGGAGCAACGGTGTCTCCCAAATCCATGGCGCCGCAGGAGGCGAAGCGGATCTCCAAGGTGCTGCAGAAGTTTGGAGCGCCCGAGATCACCAGCTCCTTGGTGGAGATATGGGCCGGCGGCCATGGATGGATTTATGGCTTGCCCATTTACCCTCTGGTAATTTGTTACATAGCTATTGAAAATGGCCATAGAAATAGTGGATTTACCCATGAACAATGGTGATTTTCCATAGTTATGTTAGTTTACCAGAGGGTAGATCCTGTTATTTTTTCCAATGTTTATGTATATTTGGAGGGATGGAGTGGGTTGGAGTTTGCCTAAAACCCACTGAAAGTTGTCGACTAAACTAGTCATGGGGTTGCATGTAGTCAGTACTTATCATTGATTTTGTACCTGGGAAACGGTTGGAGAACCTTCGATTCTTTTACCCATGCTGTACTGGGTTGCCGTGGTGTAGATGTTTCTTTTTTTTCCCACTACTTGAGTTGTTCCAAAGGGGAGGTAAATTTACGTGTTTGCAAATGGCGTGCCGTCACCAATCCGTCACCAAACATCTTTTCGCAAGAGGACATCAATTCATCATTTCGGGCTTCGAAACCAAGACTGTACCAGGATACTTCAGGTACAGTAATTGTATCAGATTATAAGAGCCATTAAGAGCCCACATTAGTGTCGTCACTCAGGCATCACCTTGAAAAAAGCCTCAGGCATCTAAGATTACCCCCATCCGTGGTAGTTGCCAGCCTGCTGATCATGCCATGTTTCCCCCAGTGAAACCGGAGTCATCTGAGGTCACCTGAGCCCAGAGGAGGCCGAAGATCTTCATAAAATGCAGGCGAGCCGTGCCTAAGGTATTTGTTATTTTGGGATATGTTTTTTGTTTTAAATGGGATTTATAGTTTTAAAAAAATATTTTTCATGAACTGAGACTGAACTTAGTGGTAGGATCAAGAAAGGGTGGATTTTTTTTCAATGACATGGTGAAGTGGATTCGTTGGATTTAAGCATGAAAAAGATGTTGGAACATCATAGCAGATTAAAGGGATATACTGGGATTTACCCTCTGGTAAACTAACATAGCTATTGACCATGGCCATTTATAGTTGATTTACCCATTGAAAATGGTGATTTTCCATAGTTATGTTAGTTTACCAGAGGGTATCACATTTATCATGTTATGATAACCAGCTTTAACCAAAGTTGGATTAGCTTTAGCCATATTGGCGGAATGGTCATCCCCCGCAGTCATAGGACATTTTAATTTCTCAAACATGATCGGATGACCACAATAAATATGCCATGTTTTGACTGTGGCATACATTATGGTTCAAACACGAAACATTGGGTTTAGATAAACAGAGAAGTCGTCATGCTAAGCAACAAAAATGGAGGCCTACTCAAGACAATTTCTGGTTGGTGGTTTGGAACATTTTTTATTTTCCATATATGGGATGTCATCCTTCCTATTGATGAACTCATATTTTTCAGAGGGGTAGGTCAACCACCAACCAGATTGGTGTCTTTTTTGCGCAACGATGGGGCCAAAGGGATGTTTTTTTTGACCAATTTATGGCATTTCCAGGCTGCCGAGGCTTCAGATTTCGACACACACATTCCCTTAAGGGATAGTAGGATGTGATATAAAGTATATAGGGGACAATATCAGTCATGGAAGGACAACGTGGAATACAGCCACAATAGTTTTGAATGCGATTATGACCAACATTGAGCGTAAGACGAGAAACCG